GCAGCGAAGATGATCATCCAGAGGAAGGTCATGACGAAGCAGAAAACAGAGACGAACATCACCCACCCCAGAGGGTTCGGTGGGGCCACGTGTGTCGATGCAACTAGAATCCAAACCAAACCACCAAATACCTGCAGAGATGAAGAAGAGAGAGCGTGAATGGAGATGGCACATTGAATTGTAACATTTATGAGAACTAATGGGAATCCATCATATTCTTTTTCTAGTGAAGAGTTGGACATATTCAGTGAATAGGAATCTACAGCCAGCACATTTAACCTTAGTTTACCTAAGCTTAGCTAAGCTGGGCTTAGGTAAGCAAGAAGACTAGAAACAGTAGCAATGGTAACAAAATGTGAGCTTTCTAAAAAAAGATAAAATATGTAACAAAAAAACAAACAAAAAAACAACACATCTAACATTAACTTGAATTGAATTAAAAACAACTAAATTCATTAGTTTGCTAATTTATTAAACATTACATGGTAAATTATAAGGAGGCTCTGTAAAAGCCATTTCAATTTTATTTTAAACTAAAAATAACCATAAATATGACCTAAGTGCATAATGCAAAACACATGACATGCTTAAAATAAGTTACTCTTGCATAAAAAGCAACCAGTAATTAAAGACTTTAAAACAGGTGGTCGTGTGGGATTTAAAATATAACATTGTTACTCTAAAAGAGCTTTATCCTGTGCTTACTGTGCAATATGGATTGTTCCTTTAAGCCAAACTTGCCATAGAAAGAGAAATTACATCCATCATTTAAGGATTTCTGTAAATTATCTGAGTATGAAGAAGGGCCACAGTGCTCAATAGCTTCAGTGATGTCATTTATTAACTCACAATGTTGGCATTGCTCTGCAGTGTACTGACTTATAAGTACCACACGCTGACCAATTGTGACACTGGAGCTTGACTGATGTGGAATTTATAATCACGCTAACTCATAACTTGCAGTTATTTCAGATTGCAATCTGAAATCTTAAATGAACATTCCACGTGTTCATTAAAACAAAAAAAACAAAAGCCACAACTGGGACATCGCAGAACAATGATGTCCACAACTGAAATCCAGGGGAAATCTAAAATTGAAATCTAAAACAGACTTAGCCAGCAGATGGTGGAAGCTTTCTGATATTACAACATCATAAATAAAGCAATCACAAAATTAGCTTCAACTTTAGTGTACTTTAGAGCATTGCTAAGGTTAGGAGTTCACGACTTACTGGGAAAATGTTTGTTCCTCTATTCAGACAAAACACCTCAAAAGAAATACAAGGATCAATGTTTCAATTTTGGGCTCATCTAAGACTAGTGGAAAAAAATATCTGAAATACACACTTAAGGGTTTATTTTACCACACTTAATAAACATTGATGGTAATGTTGATTTTCAACAGCCCATTCAAACACTAATCTCTGTCTCTACTGTTTCTATACATTGCGTTCACCTTATCAGTCAAGCTTGCCATCATTAGCTAAGCATAACGTTCAAATATGATTGTTTTTATTTACCTTTAGTCTAAACTTAATTAAAGTTCCTTCATAAGTCAAGAGCTGTCTTTTAAATTCTAATATCATAACCAGGAAATAAGAACAGGCAACAGTGCATGAATATAAATATCAAAAATATTTATCTGACTCATCGAATATAAAACACAAGGACATTTCACTGACAGCTTAAAATGGGAGGCAAATGGGGAGTGTAGTCTCTCTGTTCATTGTGCCAGTAGGTCACAGTAAACAGAGGTATCCATAAATGTATGGACATGGTTAGCAACAAAATTTAGGTAGGATGTGGTATTTTAACAATTCTGAATTGGTACTACATGTGCTAAGAAACTATCATCCAGACTTTTACACCAACAGGAACCTAAACTGTTAAAACAATGCAGAATGTAGCCATGTTTAGGCCAGATTCAAAGCTTACAGTAAATTCAAGGCTCCTCGGGACACACAGCACTTTTGCCGTCTTCTATTGTCCAAATTTGGTGATCCTAGCCTGGGTTCCCACCAAGTATGGTACTCTGCTGCTTGTCACCCATACTTTACTTCGAGGATAGGCATTTAGAGATGGCTGGGAAAAAAACGGCTATTTGACTTACTGTTGCTTCAGCATGAAAGAGTTCTCTGGCATTTATGTTTTTCTGGCCATTCTCTATAAACCCTAGACATTGTTTTGTGGGAAAATAGCAGCAGATTAGCAATTTATGAAATACCCATAGGAGCCCATCTGGTACCAACAATCATACCGCACTCAAAGTCACTTAAATCACCTGTCCCCATATTGACACTCAATTCAAATTTCAGTGGGTCATCTTGACCATATCTATGTGCTTAAATCCATTATATTCCGGCCACACAATTGGCTGATTAGTTCATTAATTGTTAAATGAACTGTACACTTTGGAACAGGTAAAATAACTTGTTTATACAGCAAGTGTTTCCAGTTCAGTTTAGTCATTGGTGAACTGAAACAGTTCATAAAGGGCTTCAGTCTTCAAGATATGAAAATGTTCATGTTTTTAACTCATACAATATAACAGCATGACTGGCTGAGCGGAGCCAAAATAAACAAACTAAAACTTTAGCGAGGGTATTGGTTGTGAGAATGAAAGATCTTTATCCGTGCAGTTTTGTTTTTTAGTTGTTATACGAGTGTCCTTTGTAATCAGTCAGGGTGAAGAAGAGTAGGCTGCATTCTTTCTTATTAACAAAGACACAATATAAGTGAAATGTGAGATGTGAAGAGAGATGATGCTCCTCCCACATGAAGAATTATCTCCACTGACTCTCTATCTCCAAATTGTGCATTTTTATCCTAAAACAGTGTGGCTACTATATGGAGATATAGGCCCACTGAGATATAGGACCACTAAATTATCAGAAATACCAGCAGGTAATTTATTTTGGTGAAAAGAAGTTTGAGTTTTGTTCATCCTTAAACTCACACCCAATACATAGCACTGTTACCAATTGTCGTTTATCCTGTAAAAATAGTTTAGGCATCAATTTTAGGCATCATATGAAGTATTTATATGAGCCGAAGGCTTATTTAACTCATATATATATATGAACTTGTTGCCATGGCACACCTTAATGAAATATTTGTCGTATTTAAAATACTTTAAAATGAGAACTATAAAATTGTAACTGCATCCTGAAGAGAATACTTAATGACCTGAAGATCATAGTCATTGTTGTCTGTCATTGCCCACTTACCAGTTCAGGTATGTAAAATATATCCGGTGCAGTGGTGCATATTCCCAGTCCACTGGGCAGGCTCCCCATGGGCTGAGCAGTTGTTGCAGCCATCTCTGCCTCTTCCTTCTCCCAGTGCTGATTTAACAGTGAGCACCTTGCTCTTTCCTCTGGACTAACGGTGCGGCAGCAGGTGTAAATGACCCTTTTAAGAAAGTCAGGTGAGCAGTCAAACCTGTTCTGCTATTGTGGGGGAGAGATCCCTTCCCACAACAGCAAACCAGACACACCCTTCACCTTACAGCACTGAACGCTGCCTGGAATTTAATGTGAACTGGTGACTTGTGACGGGGCTTTCAAAAAACTTGATGAGAGATCTTGTGGCCGCAGGCTAAGTTGAGTCTACTGATTTAATATCTTTGCTGTTGCTATTGAGTAAAGACACACTTCACTGACTTTTCAGTTCCCACTAACCTATAAACCCTTTCTTTGTGTTAGAAAAATGCCTCAAGCCTCTATTTGTATTGCACACAGAGACTTTAACAGGTTTCTTTTCAAAATATAGATTCTAATGATTGTGGGTTAAGACAGTCTACTTTGATCTCACAGACACAAGGCTTCGTTTTGAGCTGCACTAATCAATAATTAATTTCAACAATGGATCAAATGAGCATGTCCAGTGTGAGGGCTGACAGGCCTCGCATCTCCCTTTAGCATTTATAGCAACATGTTTCTAGTTGCTGTTTTGGCTTATGAGCTCAAAGTGTTAGTGTTCTACATCATTACCTCCCCTGGTATCAGTTTCCAGCAACAGTAGGCAAACAAAAAACTTTGTTTGCAACTAGCTGGTGGTGGAGCATTTAACTGCTAACATTGGATATTTTTCTAGGAAATGAGTTTCTGTTACATCAGCTCAAAGCAGTCTGGTTGTTCTTCTCTGACCTCTGGAAAATCCCAACAGATCAGCAGTTTCTGAGATACTCAGACCAAGCCATCTGGCACCAACAGCTCTCAAATTCAGTTAAATAAACTTTTGTCCCCATTTCTGATGCTCAGTGTGAACTTTAGCAGGTCGTTGCCTATAGATACGATCCTGAATGCACTGAGATGCTGCCATGTGACAGATTGATTGGTTATTTATGTTCACCCACAGTTGAACATGTTTACCTAACAAAGTGGTGAATAATGTTATAACAGTCCCACGCAAGGGACCATTTTTAAGTAGAGTAAAATGTAATATTGGATTACAGTGTTAGTTAAATTACAACATCCAGTGTCTCTTTATCAGGCATCAGTTTACTGCTAACTTCAAAAGCATATTTCCTGATGCTGCGTATTACTAAAACAACTCGCCTTACTCTATTTTATTATGTAGGTGAGTGATAAAGGGAGAACAATAAACCAGTGGGATGGTTTACTGACTCCTTGTTCTATTTTATAAAGGGTACGACTGGTATAAATGTTCTTGGAACATTTACATCTGTATTAAAGCTGTATTTTACACCATTTGATTGGACAATCTTCACCAGCCTGTAGTTTTAATCAGTCAAGTCAAATGGGGATTGTATAAGTTTTTGTTGTCTTTTTTATCTCTGTGCAATTAGAAGATTTACCTGACAGCTCAGGTCTGTTGTTACATAGTATTTCATTGTTCGAAACAATGAAAACAATGAAATTGACGCTGTTTGTTTTCTCCCACAACATGTGATCTCTGACTCATTGCATGACATGCTGTCAGTCTTTGCTAATGTTGACACCCTCAACAAACAAAACACATAATATTCCAATGTCCAATTCTTTTATTTCACAATGGAAATTCCAAGACAAAAGTGTGAAGTGAATCATCTAGACATTTACATCATCAAATTTCAAATCGCCAGCCATGCCATGCATAAACACCAAGCCTTTGAAAAAGGCACAAAATCTAGTGTATTGAAGTTGGTTTAAAAGGCTGTCAGCAGGAAGCGTTATCTCCTTTACAGAAATGAAGCTCTAATAGTGGTTACACTGCAACACTACACTGCAGGTAACTGCTACATCACTCTATGATTGAAAGAAATAAGATGAGAGCAAAGAAACAATGAAACAAATTAATATATCTATATAAATAAAACTCAAGTGTTGCTAATCCAAGACAATTTAACATTGTAAACACAGTCACTGCGGAACTATAGACAACAACACATGCATCTGACAATGCCTCTAGTGTCAGTCCAATCATACCCTTGTAGCGGCTCTCATTTTAGCTGAATAAATGGGTAGATCACCATCAAAGTGATCATTATTTTAGCTTGGGCCATCAAGTTGCAACAGATGAAATATAGAGCCCATTCCATTTATCGTTGGCCTTGTCTTCTGTAGGAACTAAAGTCACAATCGTCCTGCTTTTCCTGCTTCAGTTTTATAAATGTTTTTTGTGAGAGCAAACTAAAAGTCTAACTGTGTTAAGCTGTAGAAGTAAGTTGTGTGACAAATGTTGGAAATATTTAAATGCTGTGGTGCTGGTTTAGCTCACACAATGAACAGGTGACTGTATGCCACAAGGTTAGATGCAATTCTGTTAAACTCTAGCCTAAGGCTGTATGTCTTTCCCTTTTTGTCCCTTCTTCTCTCCACTATCTAATTCAGGCAAAACAGATATATAGCAAATATTGAAATTTCAGCTATCATATTAGGTCATGTTACTAGTATGGTAGATGCAGAAAGATTTGTCTTTAAGCCAACATCATTGACGTGGTTTACTTACAGAAATTGAAGGAAACATCTTTTTTTTTTAAATGTCTCAGAAATATATTTAAAGAAAATTAGGACAGATCTTGAGTTTTAAAAAATGCATTTGTGTTTTTTTGTGTGTGGGTGTAAAATTTGTGAACTGAGCTTTTAAATTGTATACTATTGAAAGTTACAGTGAAAAATCAAAGAAATCAAAAGTTATGATAATATCATTCCTGCTTCTGTTTAGATTAGTAATTTCATTAGTTATTTACACTCATCCATCTTCTTTAAACAACATTTAATTCTGAAAACTTGTAATTCTCACTTCACATGGATGGATTCTAAAAAACAACATTGAAAATTGTGAGGTAGGCTAATGTGATAATGTAATTTTTGTTTGAGTGTGTTTTCCACTTTTTCATCAATTTGATGTTTGGGCATATTGATTCAAAATAAATGCATAAAAATAATTTTCTTCTCAATGTATTTGTGAAAGCTATGTGATTATTCGTTTTTTTGTTGTTGTTGTTTTCCTCTTGAGTTGGTGACTTGTTTTAGGACCTCTTCCATCGAATGGCAGAGAATATGGCATGGAGGAAGTAGAGAAGAGTGGCCACATAGGACATCACCTAAAAAACAGACAGAAACACAGATGGATGATGGAGATGGTCACTTTGAGGTACAAGACTTTAAAGATTTTAACTTAACTTATAACTTTGATTTGATAACTTTCCTTGTTTTAGCAATTACAATTTGAGACACATATACTTTACTTGCATATTTTCAGTATCTTCCATAATTACATTTTCAATTCCTTGACATTAGAGAAATGTTTACACATCTACATTTGTACTGCTCAACAAATTACATTGTTAAAACATTTTAAAGCTGTGTTCTTTTACAACTACTTTAAAAATTACCAAAAGAGTTGGATAATTTCAGTATGTTGTGCTAAAATTGTCCAGAATAAAGTGAATTTGTCAGAAATACAAGTACAAGATTCGTTATTTCCACTTGTTTTAGTAAATAATGATATAATATTACCATCAAGCGGTTCATTTATTATATAAGAACTTATCTTATTTCATATGCTGCTCAAAAAATCATAAATAAATAAACAAATTAGGGAACAGCAGTCATTGTAGAACTGACATATTTTTAATCCAATTTCAAAATATGTCAGTACATACTTTTAATTTGGATATCTCATTCTTCAAGATCTGAGAGTTCCCTTAATGTTTTGAACAATAAATTTATGTGTTTTACGTACCACTGCAGAAATGTACAGTCGGTATATTTTGAGCAGTTCAGCTGGTAGTAATGCTAGAACTTGTGCAAGTTTAACTCCTTGTCCAATCCCATAGGTAACATAGGCCAGATCCACTGATGCACTGAGGAAGAAAACCACCGCCACAAAATGATAGCCTGCATCCTGCAAATTGAAATATAGAGAAAAAATAAGAAGAAGGAAATTTAAAAAAATAATAATAATAATAATAATAAATGGAGAAGATACTATAGGGCCTTCGCACTCTCAAAAAGAGGAAGGGGAGCAAAAGGGAAAATTTTCAAATAAAGTGGGGACAGGTTGATGGACTGTGTAAAACTTGTGGGAAAGTATCCCCCAAAACCCCAATTGCCACCCTGTGGTACCTCATTTTTAAGAATATTGCCAGGTAATAACCCTTCTTTAAGATAGGCCCTAAAAAATGTCCTTAATTGTCAGGTTTTCTGCTTATCGCTGCATTTTTAATAGCAACATTCAACAACAGTGTCCATTTTTCCTTAGTGGCAACAACAAACACCAAAGGTTAACTAAGACTGTTTATTGTTTACACTGAGTAAAGACAGTTCAAATTCTCAAATGCAAGTACCAATTTTACTTTAGTAATAAATTAAATTTTCTTCTTTTTGTTGTGGTATTTTTTCAGTGTTTGATGTCTAATATATTGGTGCACATTTCTCAATGTCTACACTACAGTCACATGAGAAATGGAATTACACCTTTTATTATTTATTTATTATGTCTAAGTTTTTATGTAACAAGACATAAAAGAAATCTGGTCCTGAGCAGGTTCTAAAATAATTTAAATATAATCTCAGATGAACAACAACATATTTATTTATCAAAAATTAAGCCTACTTTTAGCCCCAGTAACTAGAAGTCATCGTTTTCTGTATGACTTTATCAGTCTTTCATATCATTGTGGCGGAATTTCGTCCCACTGTTCTTTTACAACAGCTAATTGTAAAGAACAGTGGGCATTCATTGAGACTGGTATGCATTCCTTTGTCTAAAGTCCAACACATTTCAGTCAGATTAAGGTCTGAACTTTAACTGGTGATTCCAACTCTTGGATTTTTTTGTAGATTTACTAATGTGTTTGGGATCATTGTCCTGTTATGTGACTCGTTTTCAGCCAAGCCCTAGGGGTTGGACAGATGGCCTAACATTTGACTCTAGAATACTGGTATACAGAGAAATTCACAGTTGGCTCAATGACTGCAGGATACCCAGCTTCTGTGGCTGTAAAATAATCCCAAATCATCATTCTTTCACCACACATAAAGTGTTTGTTAATGTTGTGTTTGGTTTTTACCAAACACTTCATATCCCGCTAACACATAACAATGCTCCGGACCAGTACACTTCCAAAATGTCTCTTTTTCCAGAGGTGGCCACACTTGCTGATGATCAATCGATCAACGAATTTTCATTACTACTTGCTCTCTTAATTCCTATAAAAGCATTGCTTTAGAGGAGCATACATTGCCTCTGCATTTTTGCTTAAGTTCTGTTAAATTAAAAAAAATACTTTTTAATATGTCAAGCATTGTTCTTCATGTGTGGTTTGATTTACATAACTGTAAGATCTGCTGAGCACAAGATGATTTGGAATTTAAAGAAGGTTTACTTCATCGATCCATTATTAACTGCTTATCTAATTAGGCTATTAAGCAGTCAGTGGGAGTGTCTAACCAGTGCTGGCCAGATGCTGCTCTGATTGCCTCCGCAGAGGAAGATGAAGAACCAGAGTGTTGTCATTACGAAGCAGAAGATAGACACAAACATCACCCAGCCCAGAGGATTAGCCGGATCAACTTTAGCCGATGCCACCAGGATCCACACCAAACCACCAAACACCTGCAGGGTCACACAGAGGAGGGGAAAAGAGACAATGATTGATGATATTGCAATTCAGTGGCTTGGTTTCCACAGAGAGGGAATTCTACACACCCACTTTGTAAAGTTTTTTATTAGAAATTTATAGTGTTGAGTGTAAGCTTTAAGCTATTTTCCAGCCCTCTGAAAGGTTATTCAGAGCTTCATGTAAATTGGTACAGTGCCCTTTAAACTAAGGCTTGGTCACACAAACACACACATAATGGCCATGTTGTCACTCTTGGGTGTATTGCCTCAGCCTTTACATCTCCTCCTTTGGCAAACATTATGCTTGAAAGAGTCTTTGGTATTTAGATGGAGCATGAACCTTCCACCGTTTGTTCCTTGATAAGAGGCACATTAAAATGCTTTACCATAGGTCACAGATAGTGTGCGCAGGAAAAACATTTTTATTCATTGTCATTCCTTATTTTTAAATAAGCAACAGAAATTTTTGACTGTTTCATGTTAGGCCATCTTCACAGAGAGACGCCAATGTAGGAAAGCTCAGGTGTAAATAATAACATTTCTACATTTTATTTAGCACATTCAGTTTCGAGGTCCTAAAGGCTTTCTGAGACACACTCTAAGACTAAACTTGTGCTTTCACACTAAAACAAGTGAACATGTCTGCTATGAAAAAGATCTGTTTTTATCCTGTCTTTATATTAAAGGCTTCATCCAGACACTCTTCAAGCCAATCAGCTTCGAACCTTCAAGTATCAGGTGCGCAGGAGCTGAGCAAGAGGAAACAGCAGCTGAGGCTCATTCAGTCGAAACTGGCATCTTGGTGTTCCAGTGAGGACATTTTACACAAGCGCCAAAAACAAAAAAGCCCTTCTGCTTCTCAATAGCTCAGTAGTATATCATATCTTCTGGGAGATAAAACAAAAGCCTTTTTCAGTTTTATACTTTTTCTCAGATGAGTATTTTGGGAGGATATCTGTAATAATTTTTATTATTTTATTAATAGTATATACCCAAGAGAACTTTAGTCAATTTATTTTAGGTGAAGATCTAAAATGAACATTCTCCATCACTTATTTAATCTTCTGATTTTTTAGTTGCTACTTAAGGAACCTGAAACAGGTCTGTTTGTATTCAGAACTGCTCGAGTCTCCTCAATCAATTTGTCTAGCAATCATTTTTATAAATTTAGCTGGACTCAAGTCTAGTTAGGTTAGTTCGGTATAACGTAATAAAAATAATAAGAACTAAAATAATAATCCTTCCCATAAAAACAACAAAATCATGTTCAGTCAGCTGTGCAAACACAGAGAGCTCAAATTATGGACAGCCTATTCCTAATCTATGTATTTTTTTTTTCAGTGCCCATGAAGAACATGCAATGTCCTGGATTAAACACTGTGAAAGACAAACATTGCTCTACTCTGCTTATTCATCTCAAATGGTATATTTAAAGTGAGACATGTCTCCTCCAAGTAAAATAAATAAAAATAACTGCATTTACTTCCATTTATGTAGTGCTTTTCTGGTCTTGGTGGCCACTTGAGGTATGTTAGAATGCTTCTTAGCTGTCATTGTCAATTGTTGTTTAAACAATCCACATCACAAAAAAGAGTAAAAAGATGAATAAAGAATACACAATATTCATGATATCATTTTTTAAATGCAAAGAAGTTTTGGTTTATTCATTACTTGTGAATCTTATTTGTACAATGTCAGAATATTTTTTTAATTGTCAAAATGTGAAGTAACAACTGCCTGTTTTTTTTCTTTAAACCTTTAATAGGCGAAACTCTGGCAAAATTTCTGACAGTGAATCATGAAGGAAATGGAGAACAGAGTAGTAAACAATAGGTGCTTCTACATACAAAAATTGTTTTAATATATGGACAAATATTACACAAGCCTTATCGCAACTTATCTCATCTAAAACCACACAGGTGAAACATATCCATTTTACATCCATTCCAGGCAAAAGGGAACGCACCGTGAATATACAAATTTATACAAAAATATATGCAAAAAAAAAGGTGGGTGGGGCTTCTGTACTCGCAGTCAAAGCTTGACTGTTTACTCTGACTGAAAACAACAGGAAAAATGTTTATAATGGAGCATTTAAGTCAGTGTGAAGACTTAATCTATGACTCAATATTTTTATCAACCTTTTTCCATCTTTAATGTGATAAAATTGCTTGTTCGCACAGAGGTAGGTTTGGATAGATTTAATTCCTTAATAAATGAAATCATTATTTTAAAACTTTGACCAATATTAAAATTTGTTTGATGATCTGAAGCCTTTAAGTGTGAAAAATGCTTTTTTCACACAACAGTATGCACACCTGAATGGGTGGCTGGCTAAACCTAAATTAGGTATACTAGTATTTTTTAGCATCTATATCTGTTGTGGCAAATTTGTTGCCGTGACTGAATCACAGCTGAAATCCACTGTTGTCAGTCTAGACTGAATATAACTGCTGTTTCCATGCCAACAGGGGGTGGTGAAAGCGTTTGAGTGGAGTATACCTTTAAATCAGCTGGACGTGGATCCTACAGCCATGTGGTCTGAGTTTATGGTCTCGGTGATTATTTGAAATAACTAAGCTTCAAGCTGAAAACTAGTGTTGAATATGTTTGTGTGTGATGGTAAGTTAGCTTTGAGGCACAATTCATTTGAATTTCAGTAGTGGGACCACACCTCACACACTCCCCTTCCACTCATATATCGTGAAATGTCCTCCTGCCCTACTTGCAGTTTGTTCTTATTTCTGTGCCCCACCCTCCCAGCTCTTGTCTTATTTCTCACGTCTCACGTAGATACCAAGAGTGCTTTCTGCCCAGAGGGCCCTGAGGCCCTCACCAAATCGACAACTTTGCTGACTCTGTCCACCATTTTCTGTCAATAAACACTGTCCAGTGAAGTCTGATCCCTGCTAGTGAATTGTAGGTTTAAGGACAGTTTCAATTAAAAAATTTTAAAAACATCAAGCATCTTAACTGTTGAGGAGATTTTCAATTCATTCCTTCACTTTATTGCCATTGCTTGCCTTGTGCAGGTGTTTTTGTTCTCCAGCGTTTCCTTTTTTTTCCTCACAGTCCTTCACAGTACACAGTAATTCCAGGAAAATGACTTGGTTGCCAAAAACTAAGCCAAACTCACCCGTATTTGCCTTTTTTATCCGTTATCAGTTAAATTTACACTGACAACAAGAGTAGGTAAACTTTATCAGTAGATTTCCATTCTTGTGCAGCAGCAAATAATTCTGGCACAACAATGCAGGAGCTCCAGCAACACTTAAAAGGAAATAGGAACAACTTTATTAACTGACCAACGCGTTTTGGCTTGTGGCCTTCATCAGGCTGGTGCAGCATAATGTTTCATGAAAAGTGAAAGCCATCCAGTGATCCATGAGGGTTTATGACTACTTTGATATATACTTTACTGCACTTAAATCTAAGGGTTACTGGTGCCTTTCCACGTGTTATGCAGATTTAATCTGTGTGTTGCATGCATCAAAAGAAAACGTAAAGATAAAGCTTGGGTTTGGTATTTACAGCTTTAGTGCCATTTTAATGAGGGGCATGCATGCCAAAAAAGGTGACAACTTGTTTGCTTTAATTCTAAAATGTCACAGAATACAAGGTTTTTTCTTTGTGGTTTGAGCAATACAGAGAATGTATTAGATAACAAAATGTCTCTATATGACATTATAAACAAATAAGAAGTACTAATACCTATCCCCGCACTCTCACATTTAAAGTAATAGCTGTTATGCAGGTTTAAAGATATTGCACAAACTTTTTTCAGGATAAGTTTATGAAATATATATTTTTAAAAGTCAGTCCTTCTTCATTAACAGCTCAAAGTTAATACTTTTTTCACCCTATTATTTTCTGGATTGAAAAACTAAACAAAGCCTAATAATCTTCACTTTTCAATATAATACAGTTCAGTCCATCACCACCTGTTACATCCATGATTGTGAGCATAGAGGAAAATCATGGTGAAAGTGAAAGTGAGGATGCCAGTGACAACATAAGTATTGTGCAAATTGCACAAATATTTTTTTTATTCATTTTGAGGGTATAAAAGTAGAACTAATGGCTGATTAGTGCAGATACTGCATCACAGATGTTTTCTGACAAATAAAATGTGTGTTTTTTTGATATTTAGCGTTTTCCTGTTGCTATGGAAACAAATTATTTTCACCAAAAAGGCTGCTTTTTATTAACTCCAATTATCAAACAGTGGTTCCAGCTGACCAGCAAAACAAGATGAGAAAAATCTTATCAGAATGGAGACCTGCTCCAACAGAGAAATGAGAAGAAGAAGATGCTACTTTAAATAATGTTGGCCTGGTTGAATAAGGAATGAAATAAGGAAAATGTGTTAAACAAACATATGAAAGAGAATAAAAGAAAAGGCTGTGCAAAAATAAGACATGTCTGAACCACAAAAGAGGGTAAAACTCAACATGGAAAAGTAACACATCCCTTCTAACAACACAAATTACAAAACAAGAAACTCACAAACTCGGGGATGAAGAATATGTCAGGAAAGCTGGTGAAGATCCTTCCGCCTGATGGCAGAGCATCACCTGAGGTGGTGGAAGCCATAGTCCAAAACAGTGTGCAAACACGTATGAGGTGTCTTAGAGAATGAGATGTGTAACCTGTTTCAAGGTGCCTTTAAAAACTGTCTTTCTGTCTCGTTTTCCCTCCTGCACCTCCCTCTATTCGTCCTCTACTCCACCTCCCCATCCATTCCTACTGTTCAAACTACCAGTTTGACAGGTGGGTTTCTTTTTGTTTGTGCAACAGGATGATGTATCATGACCCTCTTTGCATGTATGTGGTTCTCCGTACAGTTTTTATGTGTGAGCCTCCATTTCTGTGGTATTTGTTGATGGTTCTCTATTAATAATATCAACCTGTTTACATGCACACAAAAAGGAATAGTGAAGCAACTCTAAGCACTGTTAATTCTGGATATAAAAGGAGTTTCAGCTGAATGTTAGAGTAATGCCGGCTTTACTCCAGCTCTCACTGAAATATGATCACTTCATTTAAAAAGAAAAAACACACACACAGTGGAAGCCAAATGCAAATGCTGAGGCTTCCCAAGCCAGTTTGTGACATGGTTGCTGCTTCCATCTATAATCACTTTACACTTCTAATAACATTTTTAACTGTTGTAGGTAATATTAAAATAATCTCTTATCCAGCTAGTCGTCATCTGATCAGCCTCAAACCATCAAATGGGTTCCAAAATTTATTCTGCAGTGTCACAACAACACCAAACATACAAACAAGAGAATTCACTGCTTAAGAAGAAAAAGCTGTTCTGACCGCCACACAGTATAGGTGGAGGTCAAAATCTTGCAGCCAGACTGGGATTACAGAATATACATAAGCATGGTGGCAGTAGCATAGTATATGGGCATGATGCTTGGAAGCTCATTGTCAAGTACATTAAACATGAAAGTCAATTTACATGTGATTTGAGGATTTTTTTAAGGCTCTGATACCATTTTATATGACTGACCTGTTAATCATATAGTCACTGACATCTGAGTTAATGTTTGCTTTTGACTTTATGTCTTAATGTGTTTGTGTAGGATCTGACTGAAGTGCATTCCTCTTAAACTAGTGTCTTTTATTAGCTGTCTGCTGAAACTGCAGAAGTTTAGGTCTAAAAGACTGGGCGAGGGATGCATAGACTGAAGTTTTGTTTGGTTTGTTAACATAAAGTGCACATGAGTCTGAACAGGAAAAAGTAGAGACTTAAAGGATCAAACGCGCAGATAGATAAAGAGGTCTGAAATGAAACAAGAGAACAAACGTGAGAATAACCAGCGAGAAACAGGGAAGTTGGGAGTGGCAGGAGTTAAATTGATCAATTGTTACATCATATGTTTCCACTTGGCAACATTTCAGCACTTTGGAGTACAGCACGTTTGTTCCTCTTCCTCTATTTCTTTTTTCCTTCTAAAACAAAGTAATAGTTGCTGATGGTTCTCTATTAATAATATCAACCTGTTTACATGCACACAAAAAGGAATAGTGAAGCAACTCTAAGCACTGTTAATTCTGGATATAAAAGGAGTTTCAGCTGAATGTTAGAGTAATGCCGGCTTTACTCCAGCTCTCACTGAAATATGATCACTTCATTTAAAAAGAAAAAACACACACAGTGGAAGCCAAATGCAAATGCTGAGGCTTCCCAAGCCAGTTTGTGACATGGTTGCTGCTTCCATCTATAATCACTTTACACTTCTAATAACATTTTTAACTGTTGTAGGTAATATTAAAATAAACTCTTATCCAGCTAGTCGTCATCTGATCAGCCTCAAACCATCAAATGGGTTCCAAAATTTATTCTGCAGTGTCACAACAACACCAAACATACAAACAAGAGAATTCACTGCTTAAGAAGAAAAAGCTGTTCTGACCGCCACACAGTATAGGTGGAGGTCAAAATCTTGCAGCCAGACTGGGATTACAGAATATACATAAGCATGGTGGCAGTAGCATAGTATATGGGCATGATGCTTGGAAGCTCATTGTCAAGTACATTAAACATGAAAGTCAATTTACATGTGATTTGAGGATTTTTTTAAGGCTCTGATACCATTTTATATGACTGACCTGTTAATCATATAGTCACTGACATCTGAGTTAATGTTTGCTTTTGACTTTATGTCTTAATGTGTTTGTGTAGGATCTGACTGAAGTGCATTCCTCTTAAACTAGTGTCTTTTATTAGCTGTCTGCTGAAACTGCAGAAGTTTAGGTCTAAAAGACTGGGCGAGGGATGCATAGACTGAAGTTTTGTTTGGTTTGTTAACATAAAGTGCACATGAGTCTGAACAGGAAAAAGTAGAGACTTAAAGGATCAAACGCGCAGATAGATAAAGAGGTCTGAAATGAAACAAGAGAACAAACGTGAGAATAACCAGCGAGAAACAGGGAAGTTGGGAGTGGCAGGAGTTAAATTGATCAATTGTTACATCATATGTTTCCACTTGGCAACATTTCAGCACTTTGGAGTACAGCACGTTTGTTCCTCTTCCTCTATTTCTTTTTTCCTTCTAAAACAAAGTAATAGTTGCTGTAGGTTAAGCCTTAGAGGTTCTAGCAGGTGAATTTCATCACCTTTAACTCTTTAAAGTCACTAAACTTATATGAATCCTTTCAACTAAATCAAGTGACAACCCCAAACTGTGAAGTTACAATATATTGAGAACAAATAGGTCTCTTTGTGCTTTCATTTCCAAGTCAAACTGTCAAGCACAGTGTGACGGTTTCCAGGATGAGGGATTAAAACCCTTTACCATATGCAAAACATCTTGTGTGAGACAAGCTCAAGACCCTTCCACCTTTTTTAATCATTGTCTGTAGTCACCAAACCTGTTTTGTTACCACAAAATAAATAACATAAACAGCATATGAATTTAAATTATTACTGCTACACATGCATCACATGGGTGATCCATGAATTTTACTTCCTATCATAGATACATTGATTAACGGTGAATAATCGTTTTGAGTTGTAAAATCTGAAGCCTAAATATATCTGAAGAATTTTAAAAGAATTCTGATACACTGTGTTAGTGATAATTCAGATCAGGGTTGCAGGTGGGCTGGAGCCTAAGCCAGCTACCATAGAGCAAGAGGCAGGGCATACCCTGAACAGATCAGTCTGCCGCAGGGGTAAGCAACAGACAACCATTCACATATACATTCTCACCTATGGACTATTTAGAATGACAAATTAAGATAACCTGACTAACAGCATGTGTCATTCGACTGTTGCAGGAAGTTGGCAAGAACCCACACAAGCACAGGGAGAACATGCAAATGCAAAAAGCCCCCGGCCAGATGTTGGATTCAAACCTAGGACCTTCTTGCTATGAGGTAACAGTGCTGCCTCTTCAGTGCATTCCATTACTGGTAATATGAGTTGTGAAACAAGTCTCTGCCTAAGATTATGTGTAAAAAAAAAATGTGTGGAGCATTAAAAAAAATTGGCATTTTTAAAAAATATAATCAATATGCGATTTAAAGGTGAGTTCAAATCAATCCACACATGAAGTACATGCCAAATTTCAAATTTCTGATCTTCCCAGCTGTCATTACATATTAGAGGCAAATGATAACTTAAGATTGACATTCTACTTCGCATTTTAATATTTGGATATATTAAGCAAAGTTTGCAAAGGATGTACATTTTTGTATCTAAATCCATCCGACTTATTTATAAACTTGTAAAAAAGAAGCTTTTGATGATAGCATCATATTGGTGTAGGCAATCACATGAAAAGAGCAGTAAATGATTATTAAAAAGAAGCGGTCCTTAGATGCAACCCTGAGGTACCCCTCTGTGCTGACTAATCATACTTCACACCCTATTGCACAAATAGCAATGAAAACATATCAATTTATTCTAGGAAAGGTTTGTACAAAAAAAGATCATGATTGACCAAATCAAAAGCGTTTTTTATATGAATAAACACTGGTCCTCATACCTATACATTTGAAGTTAGCAACATGCAAGAAAAGGCCATCAGCATTAATCTCGTTAAAATGACGTTAATGCCATAAAATCTCCGTTAGTGAGTTAGCATGGATTGCCCCAATAAGTTTGATGTGTCACATGGCCCTCTTCCTATTGAAAAAACCAAAGTTGTATCCAAGATGGCCGACTTCTAAATGGCCACCATGGTCACCACCCATCTTGAGGAGTTTGCCCCCTCACATATACTAATGTGCCACAAACAGGACTTTAATATCACCAACCATTCCCATGTTATTACGGTGTATCCATATAAATGGCCCACCCTGTAGATTAATGCTGACAGCACTAGTTTAAAATAGAAATAAATGTTTTCATAACTTGGCTCTAAAATGAACCAATACTGCTTCTCAAAACAAGGAGACCTTTCTGAGTACAGCTAGTGGTTCTGTCATGATCCTGGGCCATGTTGGCCCAGCATTCTTAGTTTTCGTATGTTTTGTATTTTGTTCTTTATTTATGCCTTGGTTCCTAGGTGGTTCTGTTAAGATGTTCCCTATTTTTTTTCCCCATGTGACTTTACCCCCTGTGTGCCCATCTGTGTATCGGTGAGTCCTCGTCTCCCCTCCTTGTGTTTTATTCCATGTTTCCCCAGCCCATTATGTCTGTGCCCTCCCCGTGCTCTCTCTCTCTCCTCCTGTCTGCACCTCTTGGTACTTCCTGTTTTACTTTGACAGTCTCCCGTCAGTGTTGTGTTTACTCCTGCCGTGTCTCGTTATGATTATCAGTGTCACCTGTGTCCCCCGTGTGCTCCTACTTCCCTCGTTAACCCTCTGTGTATTTATGTCCACGTCTCCCTCAGCTCAGTGTCGCGTTCTCCGTCATTCAGGGCCCTGTGTTTCTCTGTGTAATACGTTATAGTTTCCAGTTTAGTTTGTATGCTTTTTCTTTCCAGCAATAAAGCTGTGTTTTGAGTTCATGCCTGCCTCCGTGAGCTTGCGTTTGGGTCCAATTCCTGCCTGCCACACAGCCCAATCATGACAGGTTCAGGGTCTTGCTGAGCACAGATGATCTTGTATTATTTAATAGATCTTTGTTTTAATTGGAAACTGACAGCCTACAAATT